AAAAAAAAAAAAAAGCGCCACATATTCTATGACTCCAGTTATAGGAATTGTCCAGAGTAGGCAAATCTTATACAGATAAAAAGTAGGTTAGTGGTTGACAGGGACAGAGGAGACTGGGAGGTAACTACTAAAGCATTTCTTTTTGGGGTGATGAAATGCTCTAGAAGTCAATGGTAGTGAGGATTGCACAAGTTTGTGAATATATGAAAAACCACTAAACTGCCATTTCAAAAGGGTGAATTTAATGGTATATGAATTATATCCAATAAAGAAAGGAAAACGATAAAATCCAGATCGTATGAACCATGATACACGTGAGAGAAGTACAGTTTTATTCTCCAACTGGAGGTCTCCACATTCCTGAGGTGCCTACAAATGTACTCAATGGATTTTCCAAATGCCACCAAAATATTTCCCAAAACATATTTCATATGCTCAGTAATTCCAGCAACAATGAGATATGGGCCTGCCTCTCACCCAAGACCCAGGTAGAACAACTCAGTATCCTGTTACTTTATAAAGTCATCTAAATCCAGGGTACGAGGAAAGCAGGAAACTGACAGAACTTCCACTTAGATCAGCCATCCACTGCTATGGTGGGAGAAGTCTTGCCCTGCAGCTTTAGGAAACACCCACTGTGCAAACACAGACCTGAGAGGTGGCAGCCCAACCCCTGAGGAAGAAGAGCCATTCACCAAGAAAAGGGAGGGAGGGAAAATTCCATAAAACATCTCTAGCAGCTTGCACCCATAACCCTAACTTTCAAAACAAAAGGACAAACCAAAAACCCAGCCTGTTCCCATGGTCACTGAATCCACTAGCTTGGTTCCTCTTTAGTTGTATGACTTACCACGGAAACCCATATACCCCCAGAGCACATCCACACACCTCCATCCCCACTGGTTGTGAAACATTAATTATACAAGGGCGTGGGGACTGTTCTCACTTCCGTGTAATAAATTCTTGACACAGACCAAACTCAAGTCTATCTGTGACCCCACTCTGCCCTGTTACGCACGTCCCTCTGTAATACACTTGCTTCCACTCATTTTCACTATTGCATCAAACATGAAGTTTCTCGTGTGCACCCTTTAAACTGGCCTCTGTGAGTCACTGTATACATTACAGCTTCAGCTTAAAATCAGTTACTCTATACACCATGAAAGCACAGGACGATACTCCCAAGGGATGTGACAAACACCAAATCACTGACCGTGCTTTTCACCGAACTTAGAATAAAATCCCAACTCCTTTTCATGGTTTCCCTGCAGGCTGAAAACAAGCCGGCTCCCCAAATGGAATGTTCTGGAGGGGTGGGAAAGGGAAGCACCCTAATAGAACAGTCTATTTCAAAATGCAGCCCACAGACTACAAACTGTAGACTACAATCCACTGCAATGATAGGCGTGCTTCTAGAAACACAGCTGCTCTTGCCTCTCCAGTTTCATTTTGCATCATTCTCTCCCACCCCCACCCCTCACCATGCTTCAGCCCCTCCAGCCTTCTGTGTTCCTCAAATATACCAAGCTCTTTCCCACGCTGGTCCTTTATGCTTGCCATTTTCTTTGCCTGGAACATTCTTTGCATTATGCTGGTTCCTTCTTGTCAGTCAGGTCTCAACTCACATCACCTCTGAAAAGACTTCTCTGACCATTTAATCCAAAGTAGTTGCATCACCCCATCGCCCCTAAACACTATCACTTTACCTTGCTATCTCCACAGCATTTATCACAATCTGACCTTATGTCATTCATCTACTTGTTCACTCGTTCACTGCCTGTCTCCTCTCCTAGAACTAGAAAAGCTCCACAAGGGTGGGGGATCATGACCCTCGAATTCACAACTACATCCCTAGTTCCTGCCACAGAGCAGGCACTCATATATTTATTAAGTCAATGTGTGCCAGAAATACGTATTGCTAACTTATTACCTCTTTAAAAACCTCTGAACAGGGCAGGAACTTCCCCAGTGCAATGTGATAAATGCCACTTTATTGAACTTTTCCCCTCCGGCAAAGGAGGGTGTGACTTTTTCTGTTACATTCTTACACCATTCTTGTTTTGAACATAGTCCAGAGAAAAATCAGTTTCAACACACCACTTGTGGTTTAAACTGGAGTCTGAAACCATAGAAATCAAGCAAGGCTATGAAATCTTTTACCTGACCTCCGAGGTTCTAAATAAGGAATCCCTCATTAAACAAAAAGGATGTTACCAATTGGTTAACAGGAGGGAAACTCATTGTCAGCCATTAACATACCATTGTTTGGAGAAAACCAACACCAAAGAATTTACACAAGAATCTTTTCTTTCTTTCTTTCTTTCTTTCTTTCTTTTTTTTGCTGAAGTTAAATGTCAGCTCCTTTTTTTTTGTCTTCCTTTGCATTTACTCTCAGGATGAAATTATCTGCTGAGGAAGCAACATACAGGAAGACCTAGAAAATCGCTCTGGATGAAGTGACTTCAATTCTGGTTCTGGTCTCTTGACAAGGAGAATGTGAGCTGAGCTTCTGGAAGGAAGGTCTGTCTTTCACAGATCTACTTCCCGGGTTCTGTACTAGGAGCCAATAATGTTCTGACCCACATTCCAGGCACAGCTCTTTTACCTGCACTCTTATCCACACACAGGCTTCATCCTAACAAGCTCCATTCTAATGAACCCTCCACCTAAAGAGCTGTGTGGCCCTGCAGGGGCACCCAAGAGGGAGGCAGCAGACAAGGCTGGTAAGGTGTTTTTCAAAACGCAGTTCACAGATCACCTGCATCATTATCACTGGAGTGCTTCTAAAAGTGCAGATTCCTGGGCATCACCTAGATCTACTGAATTACAACTTTGGGAGTGGGGCTCAGGAAACTACATTTTTAACATGCCTCCCCCACGCACACCCCGAGTCTTATGCACAGTGAAGTCTGAGAACCAATGGGATAAAAGCTCCCCCGAAGAGAGGCAGACAGGTGATTTAGAGAAGACCAGACAAAGGTTTAGGGAAGGGTCTGGAGACAGAAGATGGGGGGGTGGGGGCGGGGGGCAGTGTAAGGGCACGCTCCGGGGTAGCGACAGTCAAGACCAGTGCGCGGTGGGAACAGTTGAAGGTGGAGGTGAGGACAGGGCTCCGGAAAGGATCTAAGACGGGGTTTGGGCTGGGAGGCTGGTCAGAGGTGAGGTCGCATCCGCGAACCGGTCAGGACAGAGGGGAGGCGGAAGGCGGAGAGACCAAAGTCTGGACGTGAGGAGGAGGAGCAAGGATGGAAATAAATAATAGGGGGCTCTTCAGAGGGGTCGGGGCTGGGAAGTGAAAATTAGAAAAAAAGGGGGTCACAGGAGGTGGGGACCAAAGCAGGAACAGGAACCGGCCGAGACGGTAACCGAGACCTTCCCTCCTACCGAGTGCCTCCCCCAAAACTCTGGGCCCTGACAAGCCTGAGTGTGGGGCCAGGGTCGGGGAGAGGGAGTTTGGGAGAGACAAGCCCAGTCAGGGACGTCCCTCAGGACTGAGCTAGGGGTCCCGGAGGTGGCTCGGGCCAGGCATGGGGCGCTGGAAGGTCCTGGGAGCCCCCGGAGGACCCCGCTCCAGCTCTGGCTCCCGGAGTCTCCTTCACTCACCATCGCCGCCGCCATCTTGGATCCACGTGTCGCCGTAATGACGTCAGCGGAAGTGGTGTTTCCCTGGTTACGGAGTTTAACTCCGTGGGGTGCTGCCTGGCTTCGATCTTTCCTGTAGTCGTGTTCAGCAGGGGGGCGAGAAGACTTAACTCCTGATCGGCAGCCTGGTCTGGGCAGGGAGGTCGCTGATTAGGTGACGAAAGGATGGTGTAACTATGGGGGCCATATTAACTCCTGGCAGAGACTGCTCCTCCTCTTCTTCCCCACTGTATTGTGGGTAATGGGGGTGTGCGTAAACGCGCTTGTTCTCTGGACGACATCTTTACTATTGGCAGGAAGACCCGTTGCCAGGGTTACCTGAGGCCCTGATTTAATGAGTGGGATGGGTACCAGAGCTCCAATAGCAGTCCAACTACGAGAATAATTTGTAATTAAGTATATGATTATTTGCTTGACTATTTTATATCCTCTCTAATAGATTGTGATTCCTATGAGGGTAGGATCCGCTCTTTTATTTAACCTTGTACTACCTTATTCTCATTGGCAAAATAGGTAGGGATTATAATAATAGGCTTATGATGAGGATCTAATGATATAATGTTATATGGTAGGTATTCAATAAACAATTGTCTTTTTACATTTATTTTATAATCCTTCAGGTAGATGGTAGGTGCCCAATACAATACACTACTTATTAAACGATGAAAAGCAGCGTATTTCATGGAGGAAGACATCTTTGAATATGGACTTCACCATGGCCTGGTTAGCTAAGAGTGTGACTGGAGGTAAGTTACTCAATCTTGCTAAGCCTCAATTTCCAATATCTGGAAAGGGGACTCAAAAGAGTCATGGTGTTAAAATTGGGAAAGATCTGAAAGTTCATTTATTCCATGTATTGCTGTAAAGTGGATACAGTACCAGTGTTACCAGAGACTTTTTCAAAAAGTTGTTTAAAAAAAAGAACCATGAGATCATGGACCTGAGCCAAAATCAAGAGTCCAATGCTCAACTGATCGAGCCACCCAAGTACCCCCTTAGAATGGGGCATCTTATCTACACTTTCCTTTGCCACCTTGCAGGGGAGGAGTCCATGAAGTCTTCCCAAAGCATTGGTGGCACAAAATTTATTTCCATGTTTTTTTTCTTTCACTTTTTTATTTAACAGACTTTTTAAAGAATGTTTATTTATTTTGAGAGAGAGAGAGAGCAAGAGAGAGAAAGAGGGAGGGAGGGGGAGAAGCAGAGAAAGAGGGAGAAAGAGAATCCCAAGCAGGCTCTGTGCTGTCAGCATAGAGCCCCCAGTTCGGGGTTTGATCTCACAAACCATGAAAAATCGTGACCTGGGCCGAAATCAATAGTTGGACACTTAACCCACTGAGTCACCCAGGCACCCCAGCAGACTTTATTTTTTAACGTTTATTTACTTATTATTTATTTATTTATTTATTTAGAGAAAACATGAAAGAGAGAGGATCAGAGAGAGAGAGAGAGAGAGAGAATTCCCAAGCAGGCTCTGTGCTGTCACTGTGGAGCCTGACATGGGGCTCGAACCCATGAACTGTGAGATCATGATCTGAGCTGAAATCAAGAGTCGGACTCTTTTTTTTTTTTTTTTTTTTTTTTCAACGTTTATTTATTTTTTTTTTGGGACAGAGCATGGAGGCAGGAGGCAGAGAGAGAGGGAGACCTGGGGGGCTCGGAGAGCAGGCTCCAGGGGCTCCCCAGGCCATGTGGAGCCTGTGGCGGGAACTCGAACTCTCACCAGGACCTTGAGATCGTGACCTGGCTGAAGTCGGATGCTTAGCCGGCCTAAGCCACCCAGGCGCCCAAAATTGATTTCTTAACCTGAGCTGGAGCCACCCAGGTGCTCCCAGACTTTATTTTTTAGAGCAGTTGTAAGTTTACAGAAAAATGAGTAGAAAACACAAAATTCTCATATACTCCCTCACCTGGCCTCCAGTTTCCTCTATTATTAACATGTTGCCTTAGTATGCTACATGTTACAATTGGTGAGCCTATTATTATTTTTATTTTCATTAACTTAATTCTGTAATTTGCATTATAATACACTCTGTGCTATGCATTGAGTTTTGACAGATATGTATCCACCATTAAAAGTATCATACAGAATGGTTCCACTACCCTAAAAATCCCCTATGTTCCTCTTTATTCATCCCTCCTTCTCTGCCAAACCCCTGGCAACCACTGATCTTTTTATTATCTCTGAAGTTTTGCATTTTCCAGAATGGCACAGTTGGACTTCATGGTGTGTAGCCTTTACAGGTTAGCTTCTTTCACTTAGCTCTGTGTTGTGTAGGGTTCTTCCGTGTCTTGATGGCTCGTTCCTTTGGATCACTGAACAATATTCCAATATATGGATATACCACAGTTTGTTCATCTCTTCACCTGTAGAAAGGCATCCTAGTCACTTCCAAATTTTGACAATTGTAAATAAAGCTACTGCAAACATTAGCGTGTAGGTTCCTATGTGGACAAAAGTTTTCAACATGCTTGAGTAAATGTCAAGGGACGCAATTACTGGGTTGTATGGTAAGAACATGTGTAGTTTTGTAAGAGGCGACCAAATGTTTTCCAAAGTGACTGCACCATCTTGCATCCCCACCAGCAAATGAATGAGAGTTCTTGCTGCTCCAAGTTCTTGCCAGCTTTTGGTATTGTCAGTGGTTGGATTTGGGCCATTCTAAGTAATGTGTGGTGATATCTCATTGTTTCAATTTGTACTTCTCTAATGACATATGATGTTGAACATCTTCTTGTCTTCTCAGGTGAACATCTTCTCAGGTGGCTTGTTTGCCACCTGCATATCTGTTATTTCTTTTTTAATGTTCATTTATTTTATTTTTGAGAGAGAGCGAGAGCACAAGCCACGGGGGGGCAGAGAGAGAGAGGGAGACCCAGAATCCAAAACAGGCTGCAGGCTCTGAGCTGTCAGCACGGAGCTGGATGCGGGACTTGAACTCACAAACTGTGAGATCATGACTTGAGCTGAAGTCAGACACTTAACAGACTGAGCATATCTTCTTTTGTGAGGTGTCTGTTCAGGTCTTTGACCATTTCTTAATTGGCTTGTTTGTTTTCTTATTGTTGGCCTTTAAGGATGCTTTGTATATTTTGGATACCGGTCTTTTATCAGATATGTGTTTTGCAAATATTTTCTCCCAGATTGGAGCTTGTCTTTTCATTTTCTTAACAGTGTCTTTCTCAGAGCAGAGTTTTTAAATTTAATGGAGTCCAGTGTATCAATATTTTCTTTCATGGGCTGTGCTTTGGTGCTGTATATGTCCCCATGTTTTAATCTGTCTTTCCTGTGACCAGATGGATAAATCACAGTAGAGGGCAGTTAAACTGAAAGAGCAGGAGGGTAGGCATTGACCCCTGGTCTTGTCCATGTAGCAATAGGCTCCCTCCTATGGATCACTGAACAGCAATCCAATGCACCACAAATCATTAGTGCAAATTCCTACTGTAGGAGATGAGCTCCACTTTCAGATACCCAAAAACATATCCCAAACAAGATAGCAGGAGAGAAATTCAGTTACCAACTAGGTAAGTTGAAACACTGCCAGATGTGCTTTCCACTGCTTATACCCAGTTCCTCTGTGCTACTCGGGGGTACAGAAGCAATTCAGGATAGGGCTCCAGGGGACCCTGGCAGGTGCTGTGAAGTAAATCTTTCAGGGGATGCAATGATATAGAAAGGTGTCATTGGCCCCCCATCTCGCTGTCCACCTCTTCCCGTTGTTCCCCTTCCAACGAAAGCTAATGTCAGGCACTTTCAACTGAGACAACATGCAGGAAGGGCCCATTGATCCTTGTCCTCTCTACTTCCTTCCCACATCTCCCTCCCCTCTACTGAGAACTTCCCACGCAGGGAACCAGATACGTCTCAGCAACTACATCTCCAGACTCTGGTATTCCTACGATGGTGGATACCATCTTAACAACCACGATGGCTGCTTGGCCATGGGAAATGCCCCGGCTTCGGACAGCCCTGCAGCCCTAGGGGAGACCCAGACTAACCAGCTCAAGTATCACTGTGGCTTGGCAGGAAAGTCCGGGCTCCAGTCATGAAAAATCATTCCTATCATCTTGGCAAACTCAGCTCTTTGGAGACACAACCCATCCAGCATCCCAGTGCCAATGTGATTAGCAGAATAAGGCCCCTCCTCCCTGCCCAAGATGTCCCTGTCTTAATCCCTGGATCCTGTGAAGATGTTGCCTTACATGGCAAAAGGGGCTTTGCTTTGCAGATGTGATTAAAGATCTTGAAAGGGAAAAGTTAGTCTGGATTCTCCAGGTGGGCCCAATGTACTAACAGGTATCCCTACATGTGAAAGAGGGAGGCAGGAGCCGATCAGGGAAGGAGATGTGAGGACAAGCAGTCTGGAGTGACGAGTGGAAGAAAAGCACGAGTCAGGGAATGTGTCAGTTTCTAGAAGTCAGAAAAGACGAGGAAATGAATTCTCCCCTAGAGGCTCCAAAAGGCACGTAGGCCTGCCAAACCCATTTCAGACTCTGACCTCTGGAGCTGTGAGATAATGAATTTGTGTTTTAAGCCACCAAGTTTGTGGTCATTTGTTGCAGAAGCCAAAGGAAACTAACATAGCCAGCGACTACTTGGGGGGCAGTTAGAAAAGCTGGAGCATCGGCCCCCATTTCTCTTCAGACTGCTGGTCTTTGGAAGGGTCCCTGCCCCTTTCTGTCTTGTCATCTAGCAAAAAGGCAAATAGATATTCAGGAACTGGCAGAACAAGACAAGCTGTCAGGAAAACCTTTAGCATTTGTATCTTTTATTTAAATATTTATTTCATGATTTTTAAAAGTTTCCCGTCCAAACCACAGCTGTAACCGGAATCCAGCTGTCCCAGGCACTAGAAGAAATATCAGCTTGGGGTCTCCTGAGGATGGCAGACTGGAGATTGCTAGAGTCAAAAAGAGATTGTCCAGTTCAGCCCACCCACCTGACAGATGAGGCGTTGTGGCTGGGACGAGGGTGGGTGTCCGGGAGTGGGAAGGACAAGCAGGCACCAGGCAGATGGCGCTGGAACCACCTCTC